AATTTTACATCGAACGCGAGACTCGAACACTGTACCCGACGCACGAGAGCCCTATACCGTACCGCGACGCTACGCCGGCGATGAGCGACCTCTTGCCTCAAGATACTTATAAGCCTGACACTTCGGCAAACATTCGGTTACCGTTGCAACGTTCGAGTTAGGAATTCCGATATTATACCTAAGTGAGAATTTGCCACAAACTTACCTAGTCAAGTTCGATTTTGATAGACCAAGCTTCAGAATGCCTTTAGTTACTGTTCGGTAAGCTTTTGGTTACCGTTATTTCGTACCAGTTTGGCAATTCATGGCATACTGAACTTAGGCACTGCCACAATTTTGCCTAAATGAGCCCGAGCTTGGAGAACCAAACTTCGGTAATCCTTTGGTTACCGTTATTTCATACCAGTTTGGCAATCCATGACATATCGAACTTAGGCATTGCCACAGGTTTGCCTAAAGAAGCTCGATCGTGGTATGCCAAGTTTCAGTAAACCTTTGGTTACCGTTATTTCATAACAGTTTGGCAATCCATGACATACCGAACTTAGGCATTTCCACAGTTTTGCCTAAAGAAGCTCGATCATGGTATGCCAAGTTTCGGTAAGCCTTTGGTTACTGTTATTTCATAACAGTTAGGCAATCCATGATACATCGAACTTAGGCATTTCCACAGGTTTACCTAAGTAAGCCCGAGCTTGGTGAACCAAACTTCGGTAAACCTTTGGTTACCGTTATTTCATACTAATTAGGCAATCCATGATATGCCGAACTTAGGCAGTGCCAAACTATTACGAGGTTACATCGAATGTGGAATTCTGTTGGCATACCAATGTTCGGCTTGCCTAATTTAAAACAAATAAGATCCGAATTGGGCTAGCCTAAGTTCGGAAAGCCAACTTCGCCCCGAACTGATTTTTTGGCATGCCTCACTAAAATTCTAGTCGGGATATGGAATATTAAGACTTGAATGACAAGCCAACTTTTAGAAATTTTTAATCATAATATCTACACTGAGAAAAAAGTATTTTGCTACTAAGGATATTTTTTTTGATAATCAAAATACTTGGTATTGTGCTACTAAGAATACGTGGTATTTTGATAAATCACAATAAGTATACTGATTATCACAATACCTAGGTATACTGATTATCAGTATACCAATATAACAGACTATGAGATGTTTATAACCTTACTTTACTGGCACAAATAAATTGACTTATAAAACTAACAAAACAAATAAAAATAAAAATTAAAAGTGTAATAATAAATTTTTTTCAAGCTAGTATAACAAATATTAGTTGAATTCTATTTTCACCAGTGCATATATCAAATAAACTGACTGACAGTGTTAAAACGTCGATGGCAGTGACAGCGCATATATTATAGTATTACTGCGCAGAGTATAGGTCTTGAACTGACTTATATTTTGAAAATCACAATACGTGGTATTTTGATTATCAAAATACCTGATATCCTGATTATCAAAATACTTTTTTCTCAGTATACAAACAAAATACTAATGAATAAATTAATAAAAAAGTTAATTATTTTTTTCTTCCAACCTCTATTAACTTTTAAAAGTTAACAGTTAACGTGAGTATCTAAAATTGTTATTTTTTATTAAAATAATTACTCAATTGATTTATCGAAAAAATAAATTTTAAATCTTGATTACCATCCAAATATTTCGTCTCTGTCTACGTACAAACAGTTTTTTATAATTGTTGGCAATTAAAATAAAAAAATAAACTCCTGAGTGGTGAATGATATTTTAAGAAACTAAACTCAAATTCTTTTGTTTGAATAATTATTGATTCTGATAATAAATCTTAACAATCGATTAAAATCACTCAGTAACAACATTTTCATGCGGGTGGCCTGACTAAAAAAATTAGTGTTTAAAAATTTTATAATTACTCTGATAATATTTGAAGAATAATCCGATTTTTGAATCACCAATAAAATATTTCGCGATAGAAAAAATAAAGAATGCAATACACAGGCACAAAAATTTTGCAGTTTTTGTTTTGAAATAAGCCGCAAACGAAAAAAGAACAAGCTACGAAAAAAATGAGTTACATTAACCAGACCAATCACTAAAGACTTCTTCTCACTCTTGAAATTTTTTTCTTTTATAATTCATGGTCAAAATAATGATAATGATAATTAGACGATGCATAGTAACTTTAATAGACTTGTCCTCATGAATGGTTAATGTGTCAATGGCCTAAATTAAGTATTAATATTAAAATGTCGCGGCTGCAAACTGAACCCTAAGTGGTTTCGCTCATAAAGCGGTAATGGTACGCAAGATAACAGATGATAAGTATAATACATTTATTATTTATCAGCTAACAGAGTGTAGCATATATTTTATTTACAGGTCGAGATTCATTTATCAATGAAAAAATTTTTTTTTAATTTTTCATATAATTTTAACTTATTTAATTATTGAGGTGATCATTAAAAAATTCAAATAACAAAATAAAAAAATAAAAGTATCACATGTAATTCCGAGTACAAACTCGCATTAAATTATTTTATCATAAAAAAATTCAACCCACACAAGACAAAGACAAAGACACGAAAAACAGCGGAACAAATAAAATAAAAATAAAAATCCTAGCAGTATCACGTTACAGCGAGCACGCTCGTAAGGTTCATTCATTTTAGCGTTTTTTATTAAATTTACCGTCTACGTTTTTTACTCGCCCTCTTTATCTTACTACACTGTTTTAAAATTTTTATTTATTTATTTGTTTATTTATTTTATTTAGCATCCGAGCATTGAGCGTGTATCTGGTACCAGTACCCAGCCTCGGCCAATAAAATTAAGAGACAACGCGAGGGCGATACACACCTTGTACTTAAACTCTCATTTTATTTTCTTCCTAAATTTACCGACAACACTATTATATACCCGCAATACCCTCAATTATAATATCGCAGTAATAAATTTATTTTTACTCTAAATATTGATAAAACACACTAATTAATTTTGGGTTAATTATTTATTAATATAAGTTAATGTTCGTTGTGGAGAAGTAACACGAAAATATGTTATTTTTATAAAATAAATTAGACTATAAAGTATAACACTTTTTAGTACTGGACATGAAACAATTGCCGTGAAGGAATAAATATTTTAAATACTGTTGTAATTCATTTAAATTTCGAAATTTAAAATGAATATATACTGACAGAAAATAAAATAAATCGATTACGGACAAAATTATATATATATATTGTTTGTAAAATAAATTTCGAGTAACTTTGAGTATAATTACCACGTGAAAATTATAATTTCAGTAAAAAAATATGCATTTTTAAATTAACAAAAAATTTGTTTTTAAGCACACTAAATAATCAGTCTGTTGAAAAATATAAATAGACGACAGATATTATTCAAATTATTGGCCGCTATACAGTAGCATCGCGGTCACCAAGATTAAAACTCATCAAGTTCAAAGCTCTGGGTTCGAATCCGTCTAATATCAACGAATTAAACATTTTTTAATTTCGACGAATATATTCAATGCAACCATATGCTATTACTTTCATGAATTTTAGATTTTTTAAATTTAGGACTTTCATAATAAACTTTTTATTGATAAAAAAAATTTTACTTCTGTACATTACACAAGAATTAATCAACTGGGATCCAAAATTATAGTGTTGATTTGTTGAATACTTAATATAAAAATAGAGTTAAAATTAACACACACTTTTCAACTGTGAATTTATTTAATATTAAAAAACCCTCGATGTCCGCGTCCTCCTAAAGACCGTAAATGTGTAGTTTTTTTTTTTTTGTAAGAAATCCAATAAAAAATAATCTGGTCCCATAATTTACATATCTAGGGATACTCACGGCCCACTTTCGTATTTCAAGAGCCAACCGTGCATACCTACACAAATATTTATACATACATAAAAGCAAAATTATTTAAAACCAAAAACATCTTGAAGTTTAAAATTCCGCGAAAAACCGCTAATTAATGCGAATAATTAAATTAATCTCAAATTCATAAAAGCGCAGGTGCTCTTAACGATATTATATGACCGATAAATATTTTAAGTAATTATTAATTACGTGCAAATTAATGCGCGCTGCGTCAACAGGTTAAAAAGTAAAACAGCAAATTATTTATTATTTATTTATTTTATCTTCAACGAAGTTTTCTATTGTCGTAAATATACATGAGGATACACCGCTAATATTGAGAACAGATAATATTTATCTTTATCTATAACAACCGGTTTTCTCATTTGTATTTGCTATACATAAATTGTTTACTGACGTAAATAAATTCTTTACAGTTAAAATCACTTAAAATTACGCATATTTTTTTTTGTTTTAAGTAAATATAATTTTCAAATCCTTTTTTTTTCTCCATAAAATTAATCAATTATTTTTATAATTGTTTCAAAAACTTTTCAAATTCGAATTTTTTAAACATTAACTAATATTAAAAACTTTGAATTACAAATTTTTAAAATCGTTAAAATTAAACCATTAAAAGTGTCAAATTAAATAATAAAAACTTCAACAAATCACAGAAAGGAATAAATTACAATTAAAATGAATAAAAAATATTTCGTTATAAATATCACTATATATTTTCGTAATATCATTACAGTATCCAATATATATATATATATATATATATATATATATATATATATATATATATATATATATAAATAAATAATATTAATAATAATAATATTATCGTGTATTTACAATCGGCAGTGTCCAAATAACATAAATTTACAAAAGTCATCAATGAATAATAATAATAACTCTTCTTCTTCTTTAAATAATCAATTAAATACACTTAAAAATAAAAAAATTACCAAACTTAAATGCCATTATAAAAGTCATCACATAAACATAACATAAATGCCTTTTACCGTTTAAAATAATAAATATGGCACTTACAGATTTTCACATCACAAATAAACAAATCAATCGATTATCTCCATCAATAATAAAATCACTAAAGTTTCTCCAAAGCCCTAGTATTAGTCAAAAGTTCCCTTGTGAGTCTCCAGACCTGTTTCGCCGCATTTTCAAGCCCGGTCGGAGTTTTTCCCTTAAACAAATCCAAATTCGGCAAAAAATAGTGTGGACATCTCCGACATTGAAGACAAGAAATTAACTGAAGAAAAATCCCATTGATTCTATCACCAAGACAGCTTTCATCCCACTCAGCTTCATGAGGATGCTTTTCACACTCATACAACAAAAGAGTCTTCATATGATAACTAGTAACCGGATTTCCCGGAAGATCCAGATGCCGGTCCCTGAGAGTCTTTAAGATACTCAAGCATCTTCTTCTACTCGCGCCTTGAAGTAGCCGATTTTCTGCATCAATAAAAGAAAGTGCCCAAGCATCGCCTTCCATCGCAGATTGTTTCCCCTGAAGCCCAATGCACTCCTTGGACAACATGTCAAACCCTTCTGCCTTAACTTCAGCAACAATATTAGGATGCGGCCACGGAATCTGCGGAATTGGCCAATGAGAAGCCGACCGCGGCCAAAGTCCTGCACACTTGAAAGCTGGAGTGATTTGAACGACATATCTTTCTCTAATCCTCAGTTTAACTTCAGTGGTGTCTGCTATCATCTTGACCGAATCCCGATAGGCACACTTGTCGCAGGCTTGAGCCACCAAAGTTTGGAACCGGGATCTGATCTTCCTAGCCGATAAATACCCAGAAGCTGTGATAAATTCAACCCAAAGGGACATGGACCGCTTTCTTCCGTCGCTCAGCTTGAGGACCGCGCAGCCTGGCAAAGTTCCGTCGTCGACAAAATTCAAAACTCCCATTTGGTTCAGGTAAATCACTATTTCGAATTCTGTCGGGGAAATGACATCCAGGCCATCGAATCTCCCGTTGTAGTCCGTTAAAGAAGAAATGAATCTCGGTTCTTGGACTTCAACTTCTTTAAGCACGTCTTGGACCACCCGGCAGACTTCTTGGATGGTCTTCGCGACTTGAGTCTTGCGGGACATAACCCGTTCGCCAAAATACTTGTTTATTTGATAGACCATCTTAGAATGCGAGGCCAGCATATCCGCTGGCACCAACATCTTTGAAATTTCACTGACCGGAGCTATTTTTGCAAGAAATTTTAAACTGATAAACTAATTTTGATGATCAATTGATGGTTGATGGTCAAAGATTGATGATTGATGGTTCAGTTATTGATTTCACAGCACATTATAACTCAACCACTGCACATTTTGTTAAAAAATACCGATCAGAAGGTCTTGGGGCTAAGCCGCAAGAGCTGATCTCGGTGCTGAAGCTGATTCGAGACTAACCGAGCATCCACCTCCACATCCAGCGCCGGGCCAGGTAAGCGTGGAAAGACACCCGCGGATCCGCCACGCCTACCCGCGAATTCCCGACCAATGGAAGCGAGGATGGTCACGCCCAGCCGCGAAATCGATAGGGTAGATAAGGGTGTGAGGAAGAGTTGCTTTTTTAGGAAATTCATTGTTCATTGCGGTAAAGGCTATCTGATTATGGAGGAAAATTATTGGTGATATGGTAATGTTAATATTAAATTTATGCATTTTGTGATTGATTAATTAGGTACTTTCGAGATTATTAGGCCCGTAAAAAGGTTATTGTTTATCGATATTATCTAGATGTATATTGATAGGTTGGTGATTAAAAGTATGTTTCTATGGATAATGAAGTTGGTTTTTTAATTGGGTGGATAATTATGGGAAGGATTGTTTTTGTTAAAATGATTGATACGGTTGGCTTTTGAAAGTGTAATTGTAAAATATTGATGGGGAAATAATTGAAGATAGGTTTGATTTTTTGAGTTTCTTTTATTGATGATTTATTTACAAAATATTGATACAAAAAGCCAAGTAGAAAACGCATAATTAATTTTGAATTTTTTGACAATTATTCAAATTTTTAAGCAGTTTATGCTTTTTAACTTATAATTTTTGTTAATTTTGTCATTCTTGTAAATCTGATTGGAAAATATTGAACATTAACAATATGGTGATAAATGACGTGAGTATTTTTATACTGATGGAAGAATTAAATTGATTCAAAGGAAAATTTTGGGACTAAGAAAATTACTTTGAAAAATTTTATTCTTTTGAAGCAGGAAAATTCTTGACAAAATTTTCAAAAATTTTCGGTTTAAAAAATTTTTCTAGTATGAAATTTTTTTCGAAAAAGATTTTTCTTTTGAAACTTAGTTAATTTTTCCACCAATGTATACATATTAATCAGTATTATGTTTGCAACATACAATCGACAACTTTTCAAAAATGTATAATTAAGTTTCCTACTGTAAAAATAATACCATAAAAAAATGCACTTAAAGATGTATTGAGCTTAACAATAATTTTCGACTTAAAGGCTAAAAATTTTTTTAAAAATTGATTTTTACTTATAATATTCACCATACACATTTCCGGAATAGTAACTTTTCACATTTCTAATAAAAATTTATTGAAAGTTGACGTAAAATATACTGCTCTTATGAAGAAAGAAAATAAGTAATTGTGACTACATATCAACGCATTAAATGATTTTTAGGAAAAAAAAAATATCAATAAGAAAGTTGATACTTTCAAAAATCCATTCGTTTATTAAAAATACTATGTATCCGTTCATTCGCTGCCGCATTTCAAAACGGAGTAATTGTCATTTCGTGGATTTTTTTTAATTTGCCTTATTGAAAAAATGTATACTCTCCAAATTGACAAAAATTTAATTTCTAAATAGAAATTATATTAATTAAAAAAAAAAAAAAAAAAAAACATATTTAATTATTTATCTAACATCGTACATAAAATGCAACAACATCGATCAAAATAACTCTAAAAATTTTGCATTTACTGTTTCGAAATAACAGCCGTTATCCTACAGATAAAAATTAAAATTATATTAAAATTTTTATCTAATATAGACAAATGCATACAAGTCACTTTGTTTTTTTCATCACTTAAAATTTGTTTTACAATCACCAAGTTAAAATAACTTCAAAATTTTCAAAAATTCGTCTTTCAATTTCACATTTATGAATCTTCACAAAACTTCCACTTGACATTAAAATTTCGTTTTTTGATCCAGTTCGCTACTAATATCTTCAATAATTTCACCCATTACAAAGCTTCAAACGCTCGCGAATTAGTAACCAACTCCCTAACAACCCTCCAGACTTGTTTCGAGGCACTTTCCATCACACTAGCTCTCTTTCCTTTGAACAAATTCAGCGCAGGCAAAAAATAATGGGGACACTTTCGGCATTGCAAGCACGAAATCAACTGCACAAAAATTCCCAGAATTCTATCTCCAAGACAACTTTCGTCCCATTCTGCCTCCAAAGGATGCTTTTCGCACTCATACATCAAAAGAGTCTTCATATGATAATTAGTCACGGGATCCTCAGGCAAATCAAGATGCCGGTCCCTGAGAGTCTTCAAGATACTCAAGCATCTTCTCCTTCCATTGCCCTGTATCAGCCTTCTCTCCGCATTCGAGAAAGACAGTAACCAGGCGTCGCCATCTAGTGTCGATTGCTTGTTTCCTCTCCTAACAGCACAATCTTTCGATAACAAATCAAACCCTTCATTCTTAACCTCCACTACCAAATCACTGTAGGGCCAAAATCTTGGATTCTGGTCCCCAATCGGTAAATTGTTGTACGGCCACTGGCTGGCTGACCTTGGCCACACGCCGGAGCACTTGAAGGCTGGGGTAATCTGGACCATCCACCGGTCCCTGATCTTCAGTTTAACCTCAGCATGATCAGTCAGGACTTTGACGTCCCCAGAAAAATATTTTTCCTTGCAAATTTGGGAGACCAAACCCGCGAACCTGGACCTTATTTTCTTGGCAGACAAGTACCCGGATGCGGTGATAAATTCGACCCAGAGGGACATGGACCGTTTTCTTCCGTCGCTCAGCTTGAGAACGGCGCAACCCGGCAGGGTGCCATCATCCACAAAATTAAACACTCCCATTTGGTTCAGGTACAAGACCACCTCGAACTCGAGCGGTGTTATCACTTCCAGGCCCTCAAACTTTCCGTTGCACTCGTTCAAGGAAGAAACGAACCTTGGCTCCTGAGACTCCACTTCTTTCAGGATTTCCTGGAGGATTTTACAAATTTCCTGGATGGAGCTTCTGGCTTGTGACACTCGGCTCTGCACTTGGTTCGAGTGGTACTTAGTTATTTGATGAAGAAAAACTCCCGATTCTGGAGTCGAGTATCCCGGCAACAACATTTTGGATCTTGTTGAACTTGTTTTAAGAAACTTATATGTTTTAACGCGAAGAAGCAATTTTCGGAAATATCAGAAGACAAAAGCTCGAAAGCTCGGCGTTAGTACTATACGCCGTTAAGGAATCAAATGCTTGTATATTTATTTCGTGCTTTAAGTCACGCCCCGCGGTAGATATTGCTGAAGGTATCGAGCGTCTGCGCGCTTTTTATGCCACGCCCTAGGGTTTAGATGGATATTATTTATCACCTGTAGGTTCTTTTGTTTGTTTTTTTGGTTATTAACGGCATTGTTGCTCAGGAGTTGGATGATCGAGTGATCATGGATTTGATGAGACATGATTGGAAAGCTTCAGTTTTGGATTTGTTGTTTTTTTTTTTTTTTTCCATTTGGTGAAAAAATATCATAGGTAGGCTGTTTTTGGAACAACTTTATTTATCGAAGAGTTTTTGGTGGAAAATTTAATTCATTTGGGAATATCATTGTAAGATTGTTGGAAAATTGAAATATTGAGGACTTAGTATACATTTTTATAACGTTGAGCGTAATGTTTTAAACAAGACGGCTTTTAGTATTCGAATTTAATTATTTTTTAATTTTGAATTAAGAATTACAATTCTTCTTTGATGTGATTCAAGAAAATTAAAAGAATTATAGGAATATTCAAGTAACAAAATTATCTAAAGTTAATTCGTTTTAAAATTATAAAAGGAATGAAAAACTCAAAAATGTATAGTATATTACTCATCTAGGGCAGGAAAGTAAGAAATGTCTCAGATCACATGTCATTGTTGACCGAGACGAAGCCGAGTGAGTAATATACTATTTTTATTTTTATTTTATACATTTATTTCTAGGGTTTTAAAACCAAAACTTGGTAAGCATATACATAATTTACAAAGTAGTTATCATTGATTGTTACCAATTTTGATGTGGTTTTCATATTTACTATTTCAATTAGTTAAATTAAACTAAATTAATTAATGAGAGAAAATAGTAAATTTTAACATAGTATAGTGTAGTTAGTTAATAAGTAATTGATACTTTTTACAAAATTCATTCAGTGTACTTAACAAGGTTACTTCAAAAAGGAAGAGAATCCCAAAAGTGATAACCCGTAAAAACAAAAGATAGACTAGATTTCGAGAAATTGTACTTGCATAAAAGCTACTTGATTCAAGAAGAATATTATCTTAAAAATTTTACTCTTGCTTAAAGATCTTCAGATCTTTGTTGTTGAAAAAAGACAAAAAAAAATTTAACCTACATTTAATCCTTTTTTCCGTCAAAACTTTTGATGCTCACTCTTTAAATCAGTTTTTCACTAATTCAGTTTTAGAATTGTATTTATTCCCAATTTAAAATTTAATTTTAGTCGAACTTTTAAAAAATTTCTTTGCACAAAACGGATACCGTCATTACATAAATTCATAAATTCATAAAAGTTGATAAATGATAAATAACCTGGAAATAAACGTCAAAATTAGTATAACCTTTATATTACTTCAAAAGCGCCTTAAAAGGACAAAAAAAAATAAAGTTGTCTTGAAAACTATCAACAAGGGAACATCATTTGTTCCCCAAATACGAAACTCTCTTTACATTTAAACATCTTACAAGTATATATGTGTCTATATATCCCAAACATTTAAACGCAAGCTTGTACTTTCTCAGCTAAGAATTACTCGCTCAAAGATGCACCGAAACGTGTATAACCAACCATAAGCGTTCAGGACAGTATTCAGTCGCCGGCTGTGGACTAGGACCAGACCCGAATAAGGCTTATACGGGATTATCGGGAATGATGTTCATCCGAGCTGATCTACAAGGCCGTCGCGTACTGTAGAAATATTTCCTTCGTATACAGCAGCTGTCTTGTCCAAAAACTAAAAACACATTAAATATAACACAGTATAATAATAAATATAGTAGAAAACAATAAACAATTGTTATTATCCCTTATCGATAAAATTAGTGTCAAGTGTACAAATAATTCACACATAAACGAATCAAGCTCTTCCCTATTCTACGATGAAAGATTATATACAGTATATTACTGAGAGCTAGTCTACTGCAACTCTTACTCCTACTACTTGCAGGGGTCGTCGGCACCAGAGCGTTTGACCCCTCGGAACATCAGACTGCAGACTACAGACTAGAGACTCTTCTACCCCAGGCTCATGAATCAACTCTCATTAGGACATTAGTGAGCCCTGGGTCACTAATCTGTACTTTCTTATAAATTAAATTTCGACTTTATTTAATTATTTTCTAATCTTCTTTCGAAAACAAATAAATAAAAGGCTTCTATTTCGGTTGTTTTTAATTTAATTTACACTAAAAGAAAAAATTACTTTCGATAACAAGTTTCTTAATTTAAAATACCAAAAAAAAAAAAAAAAAACCAATAAAACAAATATTAGAACCCATTATAAAAAATATTTGAGTCTTAGTTTTGATGATACAGAAAATAACAGAAATTGGAGAATTGTTGGTTTTCTGGAAACAAATCAGTAATACGCTGTTAAAAAAGAATTAACTTGATTCAACAGAAAAATTCTTGAACCAAGAAAATAATTTTGAAGAGCTTGATCGCCTTGATTTAAATAGAAAAATTCTTGAATTGAAGAATTTTTCTTGGTTCAAGCAAGTTTTACTTGATTCAACAATTTTTCGTCTTAATTCAAAACAATGAAACTTTTCAAATTGATTTTCTTGGTTCAAGAATTTTTCTCATGAATCAAGTTAATTTTTTTTTCATCATATCTGCACCGAAAGTTTAAACTTTCCTTTACCTTATTGAATAACATATACAAACAAATGAACAGCTTGATATTTGCACTAACCTTTCCATAAAAACAAGAGCACAAAGTTTAAAGTTTAAACACAGTAAAAAATTTTGCGTCATTGCGTCAAAAAACTTAGTGTTAAAAATTTTTGTGTTAAATATTTAACACTTTTTTGTGTAGATTTAACACAAAAATTTTTAACACTAAGTTTTTTGACGCAATGACGCAAAATTTTTTACTGTGAACTTTGGGTTGTAAATATGATGCAAAATAGTATACGCGCCAGCGGGAAAAGTAGGATATCCCAATCCGTGTGTTTATCACTCTTGTCTTCGGTTCGGGAGACAATTTTACACGCGGCTTGGAATGTCTTACTTTCCTCCCTCGGTGCGTAATATATTTTCTTGAATTTATTAGTTTTTTTTTATCTTGTAATGAAAAAAATTTTTTACAAACCAGAATTGCTAACACTAGTTTAATTTAAAATCTCGCGTTTTTTTTTTTTTTTGTAAGCCATAAATTATAACTTAGTTAAATTTATAGTACTGTGACTTAAAAAAAAAAAAAATCACCAAATGAAACACTCGAATTAATTGAAATTATTCACAAATTGAATGTTCTTTCTTACTAAATTTAAGTAACGTAAAAAAATTCACTTCGGCATGAATAAAATTTATTGTGTGTAACCACTGACGTAAAAAATTGAATTTTTCACTTTTGCAACAGTCAATCATTTTACAAATTTTCAATGTATACTGCAATAACACTCCGAAATAATTTTTATATTATTGTATTCGCCAACAAACTTAAGCTCATATTTTTTCCAAAAATCATGTAACATATTAATGGCTCAATTTTTAAAAATCCATTACATTTCCGGTAACCGAAAGGTATATAAGATGCACGTGTTAAACATAACTCATCATCCCATCCAGAAAAAATGTTCCCATTACATCAGTATCCCCAAATACAGACACAACCACATATATATATATATATATATATATAGATACAAATGCATCCATCAGATAACAAAAGTATGTATCTATTTATCACCGTCTGCTTCCGAAAACAAAATAGAAACTCATCACTATTTTATTTTTTATTTTATCATTCTAAAACTCCAATTCACTATCAACAAAAAACCTATCAATAAAATTTTCTATTTATTTATTTATTTATCAAATCAGACCTAGAACAAATGTTCCCTAAAGTCTGCAGGTACAAAATATAAATTCAAAGTGAATATACATTTTTGGAATCACATCATTAATTTTATATAGTGAGTTATTGAATTTAATTAACATTAAATGTTCTCATTAAAAAACAAATTATAAGCAGATCCTTTAAATTCATAAAACGTTCTTAATGCAATAAAATCTGAAGGCAGTTCATTTAACAATTTAATTGAAATTAGTGCAAACAAACGCTTGAAGTAACTGTCCTGCATGTATGTTGATAGAACAAATGATTCTGATGTAAAATATAAAATATTAATAAATGTAAAATATAAATAGTGAATAATAAACAGTATATAATGATATTACATGCGACTGAAATGTGGAAGTAAAGCAAAAAAATCTATGTACACAGAACACACACTCACATATTATATGTGGGTTATTGTATTGTATACGCGGCGCTTAATCTGTTTGTTGTAGCCGGCTGCTAAGTGGTTTCCCATTCTGTCTATATACTACATAATACTATGATTATGTATGTGATATATATATATATATATATATATTACACACCCTTGATCCACGATGATGATCGGTAATACAATGAAAGTAAAAGCCATGAACCATGGAGCATAACTGGTCGATGGTGTCGAGGGTTCTTCATCTCTTCACTTTACACTCAACACTCTACTTTACATCTACCGATCTGCACCATATATATGATCATAATCATAATCATAACAACTAAACGCAAAAACGACACATGTTGTTACATATTACGTCGGCTATTGTTGTTCCCCTGACTAATACTCTACCGGGTGGAGTGGAAAGTGGAGAGTACTCTAGACTCTAGATGTAGTATGTAATAATAAAGTGATGGGACATTCGACGACCGATAGATCACCCAGACAAATAGAAATAAAAAAAATAGTATAAATACACAAAGTAAAGAGGGAAACTAATCATGTACCACTTGACACCGACGACGAGGATCCTTGACAATCCCAAGTGTGGTCGGATGCTCATTTTGGTTTTCCTAACTGACATGCACTAAATACCTTCACATATGTGTATATGTGTATCCATACTTTGAATCAAGTCTGCGTGTTTTGTTAAACTTTCTTACGCCAATACGCTCTGCATCTACTATATTATATTATATTATATTATATACGAGTAAAAGCAAGGAAGTGTGTAGTCAAGTGTAGTTAATGTACACGTGTGTAGACGTCCACGGGTATTTGTGGATTTATGAATTGCTCGAGACGTACAGATTTATTCAACTGAGATATTTAGATCAAGACACGGTGGTCTCTAATTTCGCGTGCTTGGGTTGTTTTTTTGACTTTTTTTTTTAATTAAGATTAATAGGTACATTTTTGAGTGTCTAAACATCAGGTTGTTATTAATTATTTGAAAGTCATGTTCCGAGAGTTGATTTTTTTTTAGAGTTTTTTATGTTTCAGTGGATAGTTTTCAATACTTGTAATAATAATTATTATTATTAATTAGATGATAGGCATTTGTATTTTATTTAAGATTTTTGTGATTACAGAAATTTTTCTTATTTGAAGATCGAAATTAAAGTTTAATTGGCTTATTTGGTGATTTTAATGACATTTTTTACTTAAAATTCAAATTTTTTCTTATGAATTTTTAATGATGATTTATTTAGGGTAGGGCAGGGCTAGTTGATTGTAGGAGCAAGTTGTGCAATCGAAATATCTCGAAAACTAAGCAGCTTACAACAAAAGTGTAAATGGTGAAAAGAAAGGGTTATGAGAGGAGAACACATCGCGCGAAAGTCAACTGCCATCCAATGTTTAGACTAACTGACAAAACGTTTTCTTTTTTTTTTTCGTCAAAAAAAAACAGATCTTTAGAATTTTTCTCCTATACTGAAAAAAAAAAAATTAACTTGAATCAAGAGAAAAATTCTTGAACCACTCTCTAAACATGAATAAGTGAATATTCACTTATTTAAGTGAGAACCGAGCCACTGACTTGAAAAAGTGGCTCGATTGGCACTTAAGTTAAGTGAATATTCACTTATTTGACGAATTTTCACTAATTCAGTTTTAGGGAGCAAGAAAATAATTTTGAAGAGTTTCATTGTCTTGAATCAAGACGAAAAATTCTTGAATTGAATAAAATTTACTTAAACCAAAAAAAATTTCTTAGTTTAAAAATTTTTCTACTTTAATCAAGAAAATGAAATTTTTCAAAATTATTTACTTGATTCAAGTAAATTTTTTTTTCTGTGTACACTCGCTTAAAAATGCTATTTCGTGATCGCGAAAGTATTCAAAGATGACTTAATGTTTGCCCTTTTGATTATATATTATATGTGATTGTTTATTTTTAATTCTTATCATTCTTTTATAACCTAACTTTTATTTTGTTGTCTCAATTGGGGCTAGTTGAGCAAGGCGCTGACTGCGTGTTAAACTAGCCCTATACTAGATTTTCAATATTAAAAAATGAAATTTTTCTTTACTAAATTAATAATTATCAATTGATTTGTACATGTGATGATTTAATATAATGTGTAAAAATAAAAATAACTCATATTGATATTATATTAATAAATATATAACATAATTATAATTAATATTGTTATGTTTATAATAATAATTATTATAATCATAATTATACGTATGTAGAATTATAATAAATTAAATATTTGCTTGTTAATTACAATTTTATTTTGTTTTCATATCATTCTATATAGTCATTCCGTCTAATTTTAGCCATTGCACAACTAGCCTCATACCCATGCTCAACTAGCCTCACTAGTGGGGCACGTTGAGCAATTTTGTACGCTCGCGTATTTCCGGGAATAACTTGAAAATTTGGACTCGGATCGTTTTTGTGTCGCTAGACTTTTTGAAGAAGACTAAATTACGAACCTAACAGTATATGACTTGATTAAATCCGATATATCGTCTTAAAGTTATGGAAGGTCGAACCAAAAAGTGATCAACTAGCCCCGCCCTACCCTACTTGTTGTTTGGATAATTATTATAAGAAATTTAAAAGGTCTGGCAATAGCCTAGTCGGCTCGATGCCCGCTTTTCGAAAAAGTAGGACCCGGGTTCGATCCCGGCACGCACCACTATTTTTCAGTGATTATAAATAAAAATATGTGCGTTACGTTGCCATCCTCTGAAAGTGGCAGAGATAGCCGGGCGGCACACGTCTGACTTGGGTGATCGCCCATTTAAGCATCAACTTGAATGGATGACCACTCTAGTCGGCGTTGGTTAGCGCGAGGGATCTCTGCACACTAGGAGAGGGGCCTAATGCTCCAGTGGTCGATAAAGAAGAGTTTCTTATCAATCACTGTAGTAGACTTAGCCCAGCTCCGACTGTGCTATCATGGGTTTTCTCTGTGGTTTCCCCATGGTTTTGTTCCAACAGCCTGAGAGGTGAGGTTCAGGGTGAATACGGTACAGAAAGCACAAGTCGGTCCACAGCCGCAAAAATTAAATAAAAATGAAGTGTCGGGTGGGACATGCTGAGGTCCAATATGAAAGATAGAAAAAGCGTAGAGCTAGGAGAAAAAGAGGAATCAGCCTCGTAAAAACCGAGAGGTGTACAAGTAAAGCAAAAAAATAAAAAAAAATATAAGAAATTTAAAATTTTATTTTACTATTAAAGCTTGTCTAAGAAAAAACGGCACAAGGTACTTTTTTATCAATAAATGTAACAGCTATGAAATATTTTTTTCTTCTTTTGGAGTTGAATTATTAACCTAACTCAAATTAGTTCTTTAATTATTTACTTTTATTAAAAAACTAGAAAATTAAATTGCGCGCTGTACGCGCGCGCTCTAATCCTGAACCAATAAGGAATCAGTGTCCATTCTTTTGATCAGTATCGAGAATTTCGATACTAAACTATTTCAGTCATAAATTTTATATTATAGAATCATTTCTTATGCTTTTTGATTGATATTTAATTTATTACTAAAACTCATATGAGATTCCACTTATATGAAAGGGGAAAAGGTTTTTGTGAACCAAATAAATTTAGGAAGAAGATCAAAATCATCTTTTTTGGCCCAAAATTTGTTTCTTCAAGTGAATAAAGAATTGATTTTTTCTGTTCGTCAAATATTATTAAACTAATTAAATTGAACTTCCAAAGCCTAATAAAATTTAAAAACTATTATGTTATTTTCTTTCATATAAAAGTACATATACTGAAAAAAAATTAACTTAAAGAAAAAATTTCTTAAATAAAGAAAATTATTTTAAAGAGCTTCATCGTCTTGATTTAAGTAGAAAAATTTTCGAACCAAGAAATCTTCCTTGATTTAAATATATTATACTCATTTCAATAATTTTTCTCTTCAATCAAGTTAACTTTTTTTTTAGTCCACAATAAATTTTTTACTCGACCCCCAAACTTACCCTTAACTTTCCCTCAGCACTTATATTTAATCTTCAAAAACATACAAACAATACGTGTTCTATCTCTTCGAAAGAAACAATAAACACTGAAATCAACAAATCCCCCTCGGGTTCTTATCAATTCCACCTCAATATTTACCATCCATGCTCCCGAATAAAACCACCGGCTAATAACCCTTGTACTCGCGTTAATATCTCCCAAATTCTTCAATCTTCAATCTCCAATCTCCAATCATAGAATACAAAATTCAAAATATTTAATCTTCTTTACTCCATAGTTCACTATTTACACTCCGATTTCAAATAAAACAAGCTGAAGTACCAGCATACCAGCAATAGAAAGGGGAGCCCGATGCCTTCATAGTAGTCTCTGGAGAGCCAAAGGCCGTACGTACGCCGGATAATTAGGTTTTGACGGTCGCCTGCGCATCTCACCCCATGTCATCGTTAATGTTTAGCTTCTCTGACACTCATTTTTATCACTAAGAACAAATACAAGCCCCTCAGCTTTAGCATTTCATCAGCTCCCGATTTCACATCGGCTGCAATTATAAATATAATTAATAATTACCATAAAAATAAATAAAAATAAAACAGCTACTGGCAGCTGATTAAAAGTTACCGAAGTTTATTAACTTTTAATGCAATAATATTCGGTTTTAATAAGACCCGGCTCTTTATTCTCTTCTTCTTATTATTAAGAGTAAGGAGAGCGATAAATTTGGATAAATATGCAATATATAAGTTGGTCGGTTTTATAATTTAAAAAAAAAACTTATGAGTATGAGTATCGGCAAATAAAACCGCGATCTTGATGCCTCGCCCTTGGTCCTCGGTCCTCAGGTCCTTAACTTGCAGCATACATTGAAGATATATAACATATATATGTATATATAAGTTAAGAGCGCAAGTCCACAAGGTCCTGGGATCGATTCTTTACTCAGCAGGAGGCTCCTCCCACCACGACGGCCATCTTGCAACCGGCAAAACCGTGTTCGCTATATCGTATCACACTTCACCGCATCCAGGTTACATTTGCTGTATTAAGAACCCTCCAGTCCCTTATGATAATATTCTACACCTTCGTTCTCTTTTCACTTGATTTCTATCCTTGGACTCAGTTTTTGCTTTTATTTTATTTTATTTGTTATAAATTGTATTTGTCTTTTGGTTTTGTTTCAATTTGATCCCTTTGTTTACAGGTACTCAAATACTGCGACCACCTCCATGGCAAGTGGTACTTTTCCGAGGTCCGTGCTATTTTTTCACGGCGGTACCTTTTGCAGAATGTCGCCATTGAAATTTTCCTTGCAAGTCGAAGTAAGTATTTTTTTTTTTATTTTTGAAAGTTTCAGTTATTTTTCAATTTTTTCATGGAAATAAAAAAAATATAAATTTGAAAAATTATTGGTATTTTTTTCAAATATTTTTACCGATTTTAAGACCATTGCTTGATTTGAAAATTTGTAATTTTAATTTAATGAGAATTTTTTTTAGTATTATCAAAGAGAGTTAATAAAAAAATTTTCTCTGTGAAAAATTTTTTAATACAGTTGGTTTTTAATTAGAAATTGTGAAGAATTTTTTTAATTTTGAACAAAAAGATTCTATTTGCCACTGAAAGAAAAAAAATCTGTCGAAAATTAAGAGTTGTTTTTTGATGAACGAATTTTGAAAAGTTTATAATTTTATGCTAAAAAATTGCTTTCTTCAATTTTTAAGTTGCAAAAATTTTTTTTATTGTGTTGCATCAATTACTGAGAAATGAAATTTTATTTGTCACTTGAAGGATAAAACTTTTTTTTTGACAAATTATTATTTTTTATTTTTAGTACGCTTTGTTCGTTTGACCTTTAACTTTTGCAGATTTTTAAACGTCTGCTTAATTTGAAAATTTGCACACGTATCAAGGACCGATAACAGTATACAATAATTTAATAATTTCATCCTCTTAACCTGACCAGGATTACCGGGGTAAAACGATAACTAATTTTACAGGTTAATTATATACCATCAATATAATTACAGTTAATATTTTCTTCCTTTTAATTAAATAAAATATTAAAATCTACTGCTTTTGGTTTTTAATTATACTAAAAAATTTTTAAATAAATTATAACTTAAATAAGTCAAAAACATAGTTTAAAAACAAACTAAACTCAAAAGTATAAAATAATTTTAAATGATTTTAAGTAAGTTTAAACTAATAATAGAGTTATCATCAACAAAATTTTTATTTTACATAGTGTAAAAATAATATGGAATGCTTTTTAAAATATTTTTCTAATAATTATTCTTCCAAATTTCTGTCAATAAAATATTTCCAATATTTTTATGAAATATCTCCACTTTCTTTACAATTAAATAAATCTTTTATTCTTTATTCTTACTTCAAACTCATTAAAAATCATTCAAAATAATTTTCTACTTTTGAGTTTAGTTTATTATTAAACCTTTTTTTTTTTTGTTTTTTATAAGTATAATTTATTTAAAAATAAATCATTAATTTCTTCTAATTTCAATATGACATGATTATGAGATTTTTTTAACGGTCGATTTCAATTAACCGTACGCAGGATTCGAACCGCAATCTTTGAGTTTGGATTCCCGCACCGAATTTTCTTACTTAAAAACGAATATAGTCCCGACTTTTATACTACTTTTAAACACACGTGATTAAAATTGTTTAGTATCACATCCGCTGGATTCCATTGTTCTTGCATTCGCATTATTTGACACATCCACACACACACACTAGCGACATAGATCCAATAGTTTTTAATCGAACATCACGGCGACGAGAATGCCAAACGTGTCAGCGAGGTGTGCAAGCTTGTTTTTTCAAACGTCATAAATATCACTCTCGCATCACGGGATCACGGTATGCCTTTTTGCAGATCGATTCATTATCCTCAATCTCAAAGTAAAAACTCCTTTAATTTAAAATAATTACATTACAATACTTTGAATATAACAAACAACAGACAATAAAATTTCGATGTTTTCGTTTTATTAAATTTTAATATTTGGCTAAAGCAGCAGTTGCGGGTTGGTGGTTGCTGGTTGGTTATTATAGAAGATAAATTATTTATTTCTCTTAAAACAAAGTCGTGGTATAATAGATGTAAGACAGTTATACCTGCTTGAGTTCAGGTTGCCGTCCTACTGATTATTTCACCGTCTCCAACGATAAATTCTCAACGTCCTCGGCAAGATTCTAATCTCATTCTGACTTTCGATGCGTTGTCGTGAAACACTGGAATGCCACTCTTTGCCTTCACTTGGATATATCTTACATCGTTTATTAAAAATAAAAAACCCATAAATTTTTAACATTTTTTTTTCGGCTGAAACTTTACATTTAACTTTAAAACTAAATTTTATTTTACTCAATCGTTTTATAATTGTAGGATATTTTTTCGAAATATTCTGCATGAATTTGTTACGTCTTACAATTTCTTCTATTATAATTGTTATAATTGTTATCTCTTCTGACCAAAAGTTTATTCGAGTAATTAATTTCCTCATTTTATTTTGCACAGTTCATAATGTGAAGCATCAGAGAATGTTCTCCGATCAAAAAATATTTTTCACTTTTTCTCAAACTTTTTTTGTTTTTATACTCTTCTCTTTTAAAATGAATCAGTCAATTTCACTGATTCATTTTAAGAGAGTTGTTAGTACACTGCCACCAATATAATTTGTATACCATCAAACAAATAATTCAATCAAGATTAACCATCCAATTTTTTAAAATTTAGTATCATATAAACGAGAAAATCATTATAATAAACTAAAAATTTGTTTCTAGCAAGCAAGAGAAAAATGTTCGTAGCTTGGAAACACGATAACTTTACAAAATATCCAATATTTACGTCACTATTTTGTCCAATAGACCCGTTTTGTCTCTTTTGGGATTTCTTATCTCAAATGGCTATCTAACTCGATGTTATTTAATTATAATTAATAAAAAACTATACTAGTAATTTCTTTGCTATCTTTATCATACATAAAACACGCAGGGTAAATTTTGTTCCTAATGCGCATGCGCGTTATAAAAACAGCTGGTACTAAATTAAGTTAGAGAAATACCGCGAAATATTTGAAATATAAATTATAAGTCTTAATTATATTTTTGAATTTTCCAAACGCTTCTTCATAAAAATAATAACACTAAATTTTTTTTTTCAATTTCAGCGTCAATACTCTTTGCATTCCCGGATCAGATGACAGTGAAGAAGGTGATCAAAGCTCTACCACGTGTTGGAGTAGGCATCAAATATGGAATTCCACAGACTAGGTAATGGCTAATGGCACCATATATATATAGCGAACATTTGGCGAGAAATCTTTTCACGTTGAATTCACAACTCGTTGTGAAGGGTATCCATTCCTACGGTTGAAACACGTTCAACGCATTCCACCATTTCTTTGTCCCTTAAGAACCTTAGTTCAGCCCATATCCCATATCCCTTATAATATTGTATATACCTTGTTTCTCAGTGTATCTAGATGTTGGTAACTCTTTACATATATACAAACAAACAAATATACAGCAACGAGTATTAGAGAACGAGTCTTTCGCGAAGCGGCGAGAACATAGGCCATGGACCATCCATTAAACTCTCCTACGTAGCAAAGCGAGAGTAGACCGGCGAGAGATACGACGGTAATAAATATACGCCGTTCAAAAGAGAGAGATACGTTTGTTCCAGAGTCCAGAGACTTGAGACCTGAGTCCAGTGTCCAGTGTCCAGTGTCCAGTCTGATCCACCATCCAGCGTTAAACTTTTACCATCCACCATCCACCGGTTGAGACTCCAAGCTCCCTTGGAGATTCGCTACGAACAGACTCGCCAATACAACCAGCTTTATATTAAACTTAAATTATTTAACTTACTGTCATGATCATGAAAAAGACATACGGCTTCAGTACAACTGCTGATACTTATAACGAGTATCAAAAGATGTCACGTGTCACTTTAAAAAGTGGTTGTTATTTTTATCCGATTTTTCCGCTTTTTATAATTTATACGTCCGGATGAATCTTCAAGTGATCGTTGGATGGAAACCTTTTTTTTATATGACTTGATATACGCCGAGAATTTGCCGTTGCTCTTTTTGATGCAGTCCCAACTGTTCCCTACTCCCGTTGCTTATTTCTTCTTACAACTTTAGCTTCCAACTACTTTATTTACAGCCTAATAAAATTATTATATTATTATGGTTCATGTTTTTGCTAAAAATAATAATAAATATAATGATAATATTGGTTTATTTTATAGGAGGGCTTCTATGATGTCACCGCGGCAGCTTATGAGGAATTCGAATATGACGCAAAAATGGCAACGAAGGGAAATTTCTAATTTTGAATATTTGATGTTCCTTAATACTATTGCTGGTGAGTATTTTTATTATCTTTTAAAAGATTTTTTTGTAAATATGTACCAGTTTTATATTGTAATTTTAAGGAAGTTCTATGATTATTTGTTTTATTTTTTAAGGTAGTATTCTTTGAAACGTTTGTGAAATTTTTATTTTAAATTCTTGCCAGTAAATAATAAATTCAAAAATATTTCCAAAACTACTAATTAGGTTGTTCTGAAATTTCAATTTCATACTCTGTACATCTGTATCAACTGGTTGATCTAAGAGTCAAGCAGTAAAACGACATGCAATTTTACGCTATTTTATTATTTTTGAATTTAAATTTAAAATTTTACTTAATCCAATTGCTGATGATATAATAAACATAAAAATTCAAAATTTTTTTTTATTTTAGATGATCTATTTTTTAAATTCAAACACCAGCGCAGGCTCAATTACTAATCGAGGGATCGTTTTCAAAATAGTGTTTCTGTATTTTTAAAAAGGCAAAAAATAAGTAATGAAAAATTTGTTAATATATTTCAAGTGTATTTAGTAAGCTTAATAAACCCAACATCAAATAATATCTTTATTCATAATCTGATGGAATATTTTTAAAAATATCTTTTTTTCGATTGCACAAAGTAGAATACTGCCTTAAATAAGACTGAAAAATGACAATAGTCTGAAAGCTTATAAATGTATATGTATGGACGTATGTATGTAAACAATAAAACGCGCCAAGTCAGCAGGATTGCACCCACGATTCTCAACCGATCTTGATGAAATTATGTGTAGTTATTTTATGAACAAATACATTGATCAAATTTAAAGATCAGTAAGATCGGTCGGTCAGTTTGCAAGTAGTAAGAGTTTATAAATCTTTTGATCTCCAAAAAAATGTTAATTAACTATTAAATTAATTTGGTTAATTTCATCGAATAATTTTCAATTATAAAAAATTGCTTAAATTTGTAAATTTTCTTTAGTTTTAAATGATAATCTTTAATTTGAGCTATTATTTATCCGGTTTTTATGATTTCTTCAATTTATTTCGTGACAAATAATTTGACACTTTTTCAAAAAATGAATTTCGGATCTTTATCTTTAAATAACTTTTATAAAATTAAAAAAGAAAAATTTTAACAAAAATTAAGTTCAAATAGAACAATAAAGTCGACAATTCAAATTCAAATTCCTCCAAACCTTAAAAAAACCCAAGTCTCTCCTTTTACAACTCTTAACATCTCAACACACGGGCGAGTGGATTCTGTCTTAGCGTATTAGGGATGTTCTCAATCAGCCGTTTTTTCTATTCCCTTGTACCATACCCTATCTCAGCTCACTCCATTTCGAGTAATCCCTATCCCGGCGTAATCCTCAGGGAACTTTTCCTCCCCGAAACCCGAGGCATTCCCTTTGTTTTATTTCCTTTTGTCTATACACAAAAAACAACTGTACAAAAATCCACATATTAATCCTCAATTAAACTCAAACATACAATTATAGTTTATAATTAATATTGAATAATATTAATCATTTTAATGATCCAGAAACGTTGATAACGATGAAACCGGACGTGTAATTATATTTGAATCCGTAGCGGAGCCGTAGGCGTTGCGCTATTTACGATCTTTATATATTAATTGCGTAAATAAATAAATTGCGCCAATGGTCATTTTATTCTCGCTCCAACATATACTTTTTTTTTTATTTTGATAAATAGAAAATATACATACAATTTTATAGTTCGCCGTCTGCAGTCAAGTGAATCGATGCAGACGAACCGGTCTATCTTTTCATAAAATTTTATGTGTAACATAACATGCAGCTATAACTTTCATCATACATTATTATTAATATTATTATTTTTTTTTTTTCAGCTTTTATTTAAGTTACATTAAAAACAAACAATCAATTCGAATCAATGATTTACTATTTAAATTAATATCAAGAATTTAAAGCCGGATGTACATTAAATTTTATTTGTGCAATAAAACAATAATAAAACAAGCATATACAAAGATAAAATAATAATAAAAATAATAATGAACAAACAACCAAATGTTGAGAAAAACTCTTCTACTTCACCGTGTATCTAACAGCTGTCGATATATATTACGGTATATGGTAGTATCTAGAAAAAAAATTTATTGCGCTCAAATTTCCGTTTTTGTAAAAAACATTGGAATGATTCCGATTCCTGCTCTTGCTTGATATATGTTATGTTGTATGTTTAATTTTTTGTGGGGAGTGATAATTTTGACGTCGTCGAGTGTCACCCGAACATGGGATTAAGAATGAGTCTGTCTGGTTGACGGTTGTAGGTACTGTACGATATACTTATAATAACGCAACAGACGGAATAAGATTAATAAGTCTGGGATGTACGAGCATTAAATGCTCATCTTTATTTATTTATTTATTTATACATGTATGGATGGTGGACAAAATAATAATAATAATAATAATTGAAGTACGTGTATTATCTCGTGTGTGTCGCAACATACCGGTGTCATAGTTTTCCCGAGGAGTATTTGCTCACGCCGACGCACGCATTAATAATCACTTTAATGCAGTATTATTATTATTATTATTATTATTATTATTATTTCTAAGGGTATTACGATGTGAATCATCGAGTAAAGGTTGTGATTTATTGGGTTATTGTCTTACATAAACATTAAAATTATTATTTTTTAAAATCATTAATGGTTTAAGAAAACGGTTTTTTAATTTTGATTCGTAAATTTTTATAAAATTTTTTTAATTATCACGGATGATCTTTAAAATTTTTTATTAATTCTGAATTTTTAATTTTTGTCAAATTTTTTTTTAATAACCTGTATGATTTTTGGAGTTTCCTTTTTAATTTTTCTAAAATATAAATAATTCTTTTCATAATAAAAATAATTGTAAAGAAAATTTTTTTTATGAAAAGAAAAGATGTATAATATTTAAATATTTATTTATATTCGTATAACATGAGTTAAGCCTAATGTTGAGTTAAAAGTTAAATGATAGAATGAAAGTGAGATCTCGTAGTGACAATTTCAGAAGCGATTAGCCGTCATGCTTTGAATTATGTATCTACTAAATGGAGTATACCTCGCCCCATTGAGACTCTCAACGAGTTTTAACGTAAAAATAGAATGCACTTGACGACGACACTTTATGTAAATATGTTTCTTTTTCTCTTTCTGTTTACACTTTTCAATTTATAATCTCTGCCCCTTTAATTTATTACCCACATTTTTTCTAGCAACCAACTTCATAATTCATTAATTATTAATTATTAATAATTACTTGTTATTTTTAATTACAGGTCGTACATACAATGATTTAAATCAGTATCCAGTGTTCCCGTGGGTACTAACTAATTATGAGACTAAAGAACTGGATTTGAGTTTACCCAGCAATTATCGAGATTTATCAAAGGTAATTTTTTTTTTTTATTTTTATGAATTTATTACAGTTGGTTTTTGACTAATTATTAAAAATTAATTTTCATTTTTTGTAATAAATTTTTTCATTTTATCAACAAAAATTGGCAATTAATTTTTTTAATCATAATATTAAATAATAAAATTTTTTTTTCCATAAACATAAATAATAATAATTCAATAATTCAATGATTCAATAATAAAATTGAATCTTTTGCAGCCAATTGGAGCACTAAATCCCAGCCGGCGAGCTTACTTTGAAGAGCGTTTCCAAAGTTGGGATAACGACAGTATTCCACCGTTCCATTACGGTACTCATTACTCCACGGCTGCCTTCGTCCTTAATTGGCTTATTCGCGTGGTGAGTTTACACACCATATTATAACACAATTTGTATTAAAAAATCTGTATGTACAATCGATATCGATACAACAAGATAATTATCGATAGTCTACAGTAATAGTAAATACTAAATAGTAGTTAAAAAACAAAATAACAAAAAGAGTATCAGTATCAGTATCAGTATCAGTATCAGTATCAGTATCAGTATCAGTATCAGTAGCAGCAACAGTAGGAGTAGGAGCGATGATAGACAATAAATTAAAAAGACACATTTAGTAGTAAGTTAACACTAATTCGGAGGCGTTAAAATACCGAGGAGTCGACGACGATGCTTGCCACTACGTTAAATATATACATCTGTTTAGTACAACACATTTTCTTAAGAATCTTCTTTCTCTGTTACACTATCTCTCTCTCACTTATCCTAAAAGTGACAACTAGATATATCAACAGTCTGCGTTTGAAATTATTTTTATTTTAAATAAATAACTGATACACACACTTTTCATCATCTTATTTATTGCTCTTTTCACTTATCCTAAGCACAGATTTACTCTAATCTATTTAAACTCTGCCATACATGCATTATTTATCTTCATCAAATTATAACATTTTTCCCTTAAAATTAACGCTAAACCTATTCAAATATTTAAGACATACAAAAACAAATATATTTATTTTTATTTATGACACAGCGTGGCTTTTACTCTCAAACTCTTTTAAAAGTAAATCTTTAAGTGGTCTTTTAGAAGTTACTTTTTTTAATATCGTACGATTAAAAAAAAATATGTGTATATATATATATTTTTTTTTTTTTCAAGCATCTGTTGTTAATAAATCTGTGTTTTAGGAACCAATGACTACAATGTTTCTGGCACTCCAAGGTGGGAAGTTTGATCACCCAAACAGACTTTTTTCTTCGATAGCCCTATCATGGAAAAATTGCCAGCGGGATACATCTGATGTGAAGGTTTGTTCTTAATAATAAATAATTATTTATCTATCTATACTAATAAATGAGGAGACTTTTTAACCCTAATAAAGATGCAGCGTGTTTCGGAAAAAGTTTTAGCATACAATAAATGCTCAATTTCTCATTTGTGACCTTGATTTTTTGATTGATAAAATAATACGTTTTAGTTATTAATACGTTCTTTCGGATTGTCATTTATAGAAAATAAAAATAAAAATTAAATGATTTATTTGAATGAACATTTATTTAGTAAATGATATTTAATTTGAAATGGAATAAAATTTAAATAAATCATAACTTTGAAAGTTTATTTTAAATACAAAGATCAAATTGAGTAAGGATTTTCATGAGTTTTCATAGCAGTATTTCAATTTTTGGATAAGTTGGAGTAAAAATAAACTAAATATAATATATATCTCAAATTATATTTATAGAAATAAATGTGTTAGAAATAACTACATAGGTATTGTTTAATTATTATTTATTGATACAAAGGAAATCAAGTATAGTAATTAATATCAAATTAGGTACACACAGAATTTGATTAAACAAACAATATTAAATTAGATTAATATAAAAATTAGATTAATTAGATTAATATTATTAGATTAATTAAATAAAATTAGATTAATATAAATTGGTTGAATTGACAGAAATATAATGATAAACTATTTTCTATAAACTGACTCTATTTGGACAATCGACAGTTACATCTAGTACTCTCAGTACTCAGTATACTCCCACTATTTTAATAAGGGTCAAGAGGTAGTGGAGGTAAACATTGCCAGGTATACTGAATACAAGACTTTATACAGTGACGTCGTACTGTACAATTATTATCTTAAATAAATCTAAATATTAATTCTTACAAAATGAAGAGACCTTTTTAATGAATGCGTTATCAAAACAAACTATTACACCAATAGATATCTGAATAATCTCATAAAATGCTCAGTTAATTAATGTTTTAAGTTGATAATATTTTGTCAATATTTTGTTAGTGTAGAAAATAATAACTTTTTATTACAAATTGTTTATTTGGTATTTTTATTCGAGTAAATAAAATGCAATGATTTTATATAATTGACTAATTTGATATTTTTCAAGTTGAACGGCATCTTAATTACGATTATAGAAATGTTAATTTACAAAACTAAAAATCATTTTATTTTCAAAGATTGACTTATACGACATTTTGAAAATATTTACACTATCTATCCTTGCAAACAAAAAATAATAAACGTTTTAAAAAAATTTTTAACAGCACAATTACGGATAAATGTTGATGTAATAAAGAAAATTATTTTACTAAAATAGCAAACAAATTTCAACTCAAGCCCAGTGTACACGTTGATTGAAAGCTATTGTAAATACAACTAATTAACATTTTTTTTTAATTGCAGGAATTAATACCAGAGTTTTTCTTCTTACCGGAAATGTTGGTTAATAGTAATCGCTATCGCTTAGGTAGACAAGAAGATGGAAGTTCTGTTGGTGATGTTGAATTACCACCATGGGCTTCTTCACCTGAAGAATTTGTCCGTATTAATCGCATGGTAATTAATTTTAGCTCTACAATATGTTATTTACTTCATAATACTTATCAAAAATTTATTTCCAACATAAAATAGATATTGTTACTAATAAAGTTATCTTACAGGCATTAGAGTCAGAATTCGTATCGTGTCAACTTCACCAATGGATCGATCTAATCTTCGGTTACAAACAAAGAGGTAACTTTCACTGCTACTCACACCATCACTCTATAATAGAGACATCTTTTGCCTGATAATAATATAACAAAAGATTACAATGCGTGGAAAGTAAATTAAAATAAAGATTACAATAATAAGAATAAGCGTCAAGTTAGATTAAATTCTGTTTGGTTATAATTGTCTTAGGCGCCTCTATATCCGGCGCTTCTACGAATGTTGCATACATGTACTCACGTTCTCATTATAAAAAAAAATGAAACCTAAGGAAGTGTCATTTGGCTTGTGCGCGTATGGAAAGAATTAGGTTTTTACTTGGCTTCCTCCTCATATACTCTTATTATACTCGTGTATCTTAGTCCCAAGCAATTAAGCGCAAGTAAGCTCGACAATACTCATAATATGTAACACATTCAGTAGACTTTCAATGAAAAATTTAACGAAGAAAGAATAAGAATAAAAAAATAATTTTTTAAACTGACACTTTTTATTTATTTTCATTTCTTATTTAGGTCCAGAAGCAGTTAGAGCAACGAATGTATTTTATTATTTGACTTACGAGGGAAGCGTAGAATTGGAATCTATTGTGGATCCGGTTATCAGAGAAGCCATTGAAAATCAAATAAGAAATTTTGGACAGACACCGTCCCAGTTATTAATGGAACCGCATCCACCGAGAAGTTCTGCAATGCATTTAGTAATTATTTATGAACTTTCTGGAAATGTTTTAGCTGTTGAGAATTTAAAAATTATTTATTAAATATTTATTCATTTCAGTCCCCAATGATGTTTTCAAGCATACCAGATGACGTTTGTATGACCATTAAATTTCCGTCAAACTCACCGATTTGTCATATATCTGCAAACACCTATCCACAGCTACCACTGCCATCTGTAGTTACTGTTACAACTGGACAACAGTTTGCAGTCAATCGTTGGAATACTAACTACGCTGGTAATATAATTTTTTTTTATTTAATATTAATAAAAAGTTAATTTATTTTAAATGTCAAGCTGATCGAGATTTTTTATAAAATAAATTTAATTAATTTCAGCATCAGTACAATCACCCAGCTATGCAGACACACCACAAGCACAAGCTATTAATCAACCATTATCAATGGATCCTGTTTTGTGTAAGAATAAATTATAATTTCTTAATTTACGATAATATTTTTAATTGAATAAATAAATTATTGTAGCACAAACAGCAAATAGTTCAAACCCGGCATTAAAGCGACATTTGGGAGACAACTTTAGCCAGAAATTGAAGATAAGAAGCAACTGTTTCGTAACGACGGTCGACAGCAGATTTTTAGTAACATGTGGCTTCTGGGACAACAGTTTTCGTGTCTTTTCTACTGAAACAGGTAAACTATTTAATTACAATGACTAACTACTTAGTTGATGATTAACTAACAACCTACAGTTATTATATGACTGCCTAAAATTACGACTTATTAATTAAAATTTTTGATTTGATAATTTTTTGATATTTTCAATAACTACATGCACTGTTTGAGTACTTTTGGAAGAAATTTTAAAAATAATATTGCTATGACGGGGTCAATCACCGATAATTTAATGAAAAATATGATAAAACAAACTTCTAGAACTAATAAATTATTCCAAATTTCTTCAGAAACAACATTAAAAATTAAATATAATCAAAAATGTATAAAATTGTGAAAAAGCACAAATTCAGGTTAAGACCATGTTGATGATACAAAATATAATTATAAAAATCGTTTTTAAAATAAAAATGTGCCCTTCAAAAAATTTTCCACATTCTCTTCATTATTTAGATGATAAATTGACCACCACAGAAAAATTATCAAACCGTAAAAAGACAAATTAGATTAATATTTCAAATACAACAACATTTAAGTATACAAAACAAAGTAAATAAATAAAAAAATGTTATCTCGCGTGAAATTCTAATATAGTTAAAATTACTCAGAAAATCTGTCATAATAAATTAACTATCCTAGAAAAGCATGTGAAACTTTGACATAGCACAAATTCAGGTCAAGACTTTTCTAATTATAAGAAATTTAACTAAAAAAACTCATTTTAAGAAAAGGTAAATTATTATAAATATTAATCTTTTGATTTATTTTCAGCCAAAATCGTTCAAATAGTATTCGGTCATTATGGAGTAGTGACATGTTTATCTCGGAGCGAGTGTAACATTACTTCTGATTGTTACATTGCATCGGGTAGTGCCGATTGTACAGTACTACTATGGCACTGGAATGCCCGTACGCAGACTATCGTAGGCGAGAGTGAAGCACCGGCCCCTCGCGCGACTCTGACGGGTCATGAGCAGCCTGTTACTGCTGTCGTTATTTCTGCTGAACTTGGTCTTGTCGTATCTGGCTCCTACTGTATGTATTGTATTTTAATGGAAATAATTTTATCAAAATAAACAAATATAAATTAATTAATATAAATTTTCTTACTTTAGATGGACCAGTTCTTGTACACACGACATTTGGTGATTTACTCCGATCACTAGAACCACCAAGTGGTTTCATTTCACCAGAAAACATAGCGATGTCTCGTGAAGGTGTTATTGTTGTCAATTACGAACGTGGTCATATTGCGGCTTATACTATCAATGGAAAACGATTGCGTCATGAGTCGCATAATGACAATTTACAAGTAATTTTATTAACATTATCTAATATTTGACTATATCTGAGTGATTTTAAAGCTTTTATTTCATGTATATCTACATGGAAAAAAAAGTTCTGTCAAAAGTACAAAAAAAATCTTTTAATTTTACAGTTTTATTTCTATGAAAACTTAACCGACAAATTAAAATTTTTAAAAATCTAATTTTTACATTATAAAAATTGTCAACCTGAAAATGTTTATTTTACTTTTAAATTTTACATTTAAAAAAATGTTAATTTAGTATTAGAAAATTATTAAATTTTATATTGGAAAACTTAATTATATAAAACTGTGTAATTGTATAAAGCCAAAACTCTTATATAATTTTATAAAATTCTTATTCTCGGGTATTTTATTTTTATAGATCCATTCTTGTAAATTTAACATTTTTTTTTATAAATACTTCTTTCTGAAAATTAAAGTTTTTTTTTTTTTTAAGTATGACATTATTTAACTGTGTAAGTTTTACATGTTCAACTGTCAGTTTGATAGTTTTTTTTTTTTTGTAAATATAACATTAAGGGCCAGTTTTTCAATCCAGGATAAAATTTTATCCAATGATAAAATATATCTATATGTTTCATGTATATAAATATACAGGCAATGATCATTTTATCCTGGATAAAATTTTATCTTGGATTGAAAAACTAGCCCTAAATTATCGAGTAATTTTTACATAGCCATTTCTGAGATTTTCATGTATCTTTTTTTTCGTAAATTAATTTAATCAAACATTGTTTTTTAGTGTCTGCTATTAAGTAGAGATGGTGAATATCTAATGACTGGTGGAGACAAAGGTATCGTCGAAGTATGGAGAACATTCAATCTAGCATTATTATACGCATTCCCAACTTGCGAGGGTAGTGTTCGTTCTCTAGCACTTTCTCATGATCAAAAGTAAATATCAACAATTATTTTTTTCACTATTCAATTTATAAATTGTATTAATAAATTACTAACTGTAATACATTTTGACAGATTCCTATTAGCTGGGTTCGCTAATGGTTCAATAGTAATATTCCACATTGATTTCAACCGTTGGCACCACGAGTTTCAACAGCGTTACTGAAATTACGGTTGCCTTTTCGTCCGCTATTAAATAATAATAACAATAAAAATAATGAATAAGTACTTAACAGTGAAGATAAATCTGCGGGCGAAAATACTTGGCAAGTATAAATAAACAAAAAAAAAGTATAAATAATAATAGCCGCAAAATTTTAGAGTAAGTAGGAAAAATTGTACTTAATTTTAAAAATATTTTTTTCAATTAAAATCACACCAGTGATATCGGTTAAGTACTTAGTAATAATAATGAATATAAAAATTAACTTAATAAATTAGTTTACTAAAAACTAAGCATTTAAACTGAAACCAGCAAATTTGTTAATTAATATTATGTTTTTAATGAATTATATAATTAAATGAAATAACGAAACATTTCGTCCGATTAGTAAAAAGCATTTGCTACGAAGCTTGATAAAAACTAAATAAATAAATAATTATAATTATTTACAAGCTGATAACGGTAGCACAGCTAGTCAATTATAAATAAAAAAAAATCTTAGATGATTTTATATAACATGAAAATATAAAATCATTAACAAAATGATCTATAAAAAAAATTTTAAAAATGCCAAACGGTGCGTGAATTATTTTTGTGCACTTACGTACGTGGATAACATTAGAATTTAATCGTGTAAATATAATAATCTCGAAGTTATTATATAATAATTGAATAAATAAAATAAAATAAAATAAAATAAATGTAGGATTCGAGTACGTGTGCTAAAAATGTTATTGCTGTTTAAAAAATAATTTTCGCGGCTTAATTAATATCATCCACGTACGATTATCGCACGCAGTGGTTAATTGCTCGGAGGATTTTAAAAAACAAAATACATAATTAAAAAAAATTTTTAAATCACTTCCTCGCCATTCCGATATCACGTCCTTTTTTATTGTTGTTGAAATATTATTTGTTTTTGATTTATTCCTTTATTAATTATTGATTATTAATATTGTTTATTCTTATTTTTATCAAAGCCGTCCAGCTTATAACGTGAATGAATATTTCCTATTAATATTGTTCACATACAAAGTATACTTAAAACCAAAAATAAATAAATGAATGAGTAAATAAATAAAATAATGTACTTAGATTATTAATATTAATAATAATATAATAATATAAGAATAATAATGAATCATTTAAAAAAATTATTCACTTAAATTACTTAATATTTATTACAAAATGGCTATTCGCATCGGTACTATACAATGAAAACTATAGTGTAAATGAAGCTATACATAAACAATAAATTTACTACAGTGTAATGTAATAAGTGACGTTATATACAAACAATGTACTTGAATTAGCGGTGTGAATAGCTTACTGAACAATAAATTGGCAGTTTTTAATTATTTATCTAAATAGGACGGCATGTGCTTTTTACAATAAATATTTAACTGCAAAAACAAATATATATATATATATTGAATATTTCTATATAAAAATATAAAAAGTATTGATCAAGAGTATCATTAATTTTTTTGTACCATAAATGCTTGAAGTGAATGAAAGAATGTCTGTTAGGGGATTTTCAAATGATTAATGTAAATGAGACTAGTCTAGGGGCCACTCAATACAAAATCAACATTTATTGCAGTTATTATTTTTATTTGTTACCTCACTAATCAATTACGGCATTGCGCCGGCACCGAATTAACCTTGTTTCGAGCACACGCAGCTAGTCATTTTCTAACAATAGTCAGCTGTCGTTATGCTTTTTACACTTGTAGTTAATTAATTATTAAACAATAGAAGATGCATGTTAAATAATTTTATTATAATTTGAGTGGAAATGTTTCGTCGTACATATTTAATTAAAACAAAATATATATTAATATTGGTAAATAAAAAAATTACAAAAATGCTTTGTATGAATTGACTGGTTTTTATTCAGAAAACATTCCAGTTGCATTTGTATGATTAATTAATACTGCTCACAAGCTCGTAAAATTATTGTGGTTATAAATTATAATGCAGTAAACAAAAAAGTTTTATATATATATATATATATATATATATATATATATAAAGTGACTGGTCACTTTAATGTCATATTTAATTTAATAATTTACTAAAATCTTAAGAAAAAAAAAATACCGAGTGTAAAATTTAGCAGGGAAGACCATAAAAACAAAATAGGCTTGTATATAAATAAAAATAAAAAAACTATTATCCAATGTCAGTACTAAGGGACGTCGAAATACATTCTCAAAATACTCTACTATAAATAACCTTGAAGCCGGCTTATATCTAAAATAAATAACTATCACAAAAAGGCTGATGTTACAAATTTCTAAAAATTAATTAATCCTACAGTTCTCATATATATATATATATATATATATTAATAATAATTGTAATTGTAATATTAACAAATATATATGCGAGTGCTGTATTATCACGCAAAGTTGTTAGTAAATTCCCTCCATAATGCTAATAAAAAAATTAAATGAAAAAATTGAAAAAAAAAAAATTAATAAAAAAACTCAAATCAATTTCTGTCCGAACTTATTATATGAAATGAAGATACTTGACTATAAATATTGATATTTTAAATAACGCTAAAATATATTAACGCTACGAGAGTTCGCCTATATTATCAGTTAATACTACGATAATAATATAACAATAATAATAATAATAATAATAATAATAATAATAATAATAATAATAATAATAATAATAATAATAATAATAATAATGTAATAATAAACGTACTTAATGAAATATTAACGGTTATCGCCGTTTTGTATATGCGAAACAAACTAGATTTGTATTATAAACAAAGCATGGTTTATTATATAATTAATGTGTAAACAAAGTAATTTTAATTCGCAATGATATATCAACTGTATAACCTGTAAAATTTTAACTAATTTGTTGCCATAAACATTACGAAACAAAAAAACATAACCACAAAAATTTTTTATTTGATGTGGTGCTACGATTAATTATTCATGATTAATGATTAATTAAAATAGAGAAAAAAGTGTAATGAGCGTATAAAATAAATATTTGTTTTATTGATAATTAATTTTGAAAAATCAGCTGGAGATGGAAATTAAGTATAAAAAATTTTTTTTTATAATCATATAAAAGAATAATTATAAATAAATCGCTTTAGATTTTTTACCGCCGTAATGTAGATTGAAAGTCGAATTATTCAATAGTGGCTCTAATGAAACTGAAAGAAAAAATAAGAAAACAATCAACGGTTATAGGAAAATCATTGCTTGAATCTTAGAATAATTTGAAGGTAAATATATATAGAGTGAATAAAAAAAAAAACATTGTAGTTCAATTTTGTAACTTATATTAATTTGCACATTAAGTACTTAGATTGAAATTGCTTGAATCTAATATGTAAAAATGAATTTCTTTGGGCGGTGATTAAGATGAAAAAATATTAACTGTAAAAGCTCATTATAATGAAAAAAAATCGTTGCTAATTGAAGAAAAAAAAAAACACATAAGCTCTACAGCTTATTTTGTACTTAGAAATAATCATACTTGATGATAAATAATAACATGAATATTGAGTAATAATGATGATTATTATTATGATTATTATTATTTTATTAGTGTAATGAAACGTTGTATTCTACTTTAAAGTGGATATATTTATTATTATTGATTTATTGATATGTAAATTATTATCAATAGCTAAATAAACGTAAAGTAAATTTGAATTTTGTAGAGTTTTTAAAAAACACAATTTTCGTTAAAATGGTAGAAAAATTTTAACTGGTTAAAATTTAATTGAAAAATACTGGAATAAAGAAGATGAAACTATGATATTTAGTGAAAAATTTTTAATGTGTTACTAGACGTATAAAGAGAAATAATTTGATATTAAGTTTCAATAAAAATTCTTGCTATTAAAGAGGGAGATTAAAAAAAAAACGTCGACATTTAGTAGGAAAATCCTTAATATGTGCATCAACAGGTTGAGGAATAATGCAAAAATTTAATAAATTTTTGCTTGAATTCTCCCCCTCCTTAAGTGAATTAATTATTTTTTTTCATTATTCCTTGAGAACATGTAGTACAGTCTGATATTGGTAATTCAGTCTTGACCACTGACAACAAACACCTATTGAATATATCGGTTTGTTTATTTGATACACATGTAAAATAAACTAAAAGAGGTAATCAGACTTACTGTAAATACTCTAACCACTGCTTAAAAAAATTAAACTATTAAAATAAAAAAATCAATTTACGAAGGACCGTTATTTACGTACTTCTGCAAGTTTGATGATTTATTATTCAATAATTACTCAGTCAAAAAGCGTCCCAGTATTTTGTTTAAAATTTAAATATTGGCCTGTTCTACATGTTTCTAAGAGACGTTCTCTCACTTGACAGTTTTATAAATTTCTTCTAAAAAAATAAAAATTTCCAAAAAAGCATCTTGACATTCGATGGAATATCTATAAATCTACTTTCTCGCAGAGCGCTTTTTTCAAAATTTTCATTCGAATTGAGAAACAAATAAGCATTTTCTCTTAATTTTTTATTAAAAAAAATTATAATTTTTTCAAGTCACTCAATTTCTACTTTGGCTAGGTTTACAAATGACATATTTACAATCGATTTAATTTAAATAGATACTTTATTTTTTATTTATTTTCTTACAATCATCAAAATCTAGTATCTACACAGATATGTTATTCATTACTCTTAGAAAAGTACTGCAGATTTGAAACACTTAACTTACTGAATATTCTACTTTTAACAGCATGCAGAGTAAACTTTGGACAACTTCATCCGTCAATTTTACTCATCTGCACAATTAAAATTATTACTCTTTAAATTAACAAAACACATATTAAGCGTAATATGTCAACACGTATACAGGAGTCGCCAGTCATTGGGAATACAACACCAGGAAATCTATACATCATCCAAAATATTGAAAAAACGACCAACCGAGAACATAACTGTACACCAATTTCTCCCACATTTTTATCATTAAAATATATGTATATATATAT